ATGGAGTATGCAGGACTGTATCCTACATCTGGACAACAACATAGTGTAACCATGTGTATACTACATGTGCTATAACATTAAGACTGTAATAATTTTTGTAGATTTGTATGTAGTAAGACATACATGATACACATTTTTCCTTGACAATTATCAGCCCATTACCCGACGTACCAGCAGCTAACCTGACAAGAACATGGACTACTGAACAGATGCTGAACACAACAGGTAAGTTGAGTTATGTTGTTGTTGTAGCTTAATGTGCATTGCTATAAAAATTGTACCAGTCATATTCAACAGCCTTTTAAGTCTTATTTGTTATATATCAAGTCTAATTGCTCTGACATTTCCTTTCACATTTCAGATCAGAGTGACTTCACATTTGTGTGCACGGACGAAAGCGAGGAAGGGTCATCCTCGTCCTCCACAAAGCCAAAGCGCAACCTGCGAAGTGATCCCCTCACACAGGCCAATGTCGTCAACATCGGGACAACTTTTAAATGGACAATTCCATGTTTCCCGGTAATGTCACTCACATTCCGACAGGCCACTGTATCCATAGATGGCCAGTTGAAGCCAGCTGTGTTCGATGCTGCGGACCAAAGGGTCCTTCTGTATCCCTCCCCCTTTGATATTGTATTAAGAGAGACATGTAGTATATCAGTAGATAACAAAGAACTGTTAGTTATTTGGACATGGGACTTTGCTTCGCTCGCTACTACTAGCAGTGAAGATATTCTGTTCCCAGGTGCCCCATAGTACATTGAGTTCTGCCAGTATTCATACTGTGCAGGAGTATGACTACATGTCAGATTCTGATAGCGACTCAGACAGTTATGTTCTCTTCTTCGCAAGCTCCGAAGAGAACTATGTTTCCCGTCTATTTCACAGACAAACACACACAAATTAGGGTAGTGAGCTCACCGTCACCTCAGTACGGTCGGGCATTTATTGCAATTGGCTCGTCAATTCAGTAACACCATTACTCTCTACACATTGTAGCTCTCATAGCATGTACATACTTATACAGGAGCCTAATACAACAACAACAAGTCATGTGCTGCGAGCTGGCGACCTATTTTACCCTGGTTGCCAATTGTTTAGCCAAAGTCGGGCTGGTCGGTTAAACCAATGCTCTGTCCAGCGGATGTTTAACGCATCCTGACTTGTAAGTAACTTCTAACCGGCGAAGTTCAAAAGCTCATCTACGTGAACAAGGTTGAAAACATCCTGGCTAAGCAAGTGATGCGTTGCAGGTATAACTACTGACCTTCGTAAGTAACGTGGTTCAAAATACGACAATAACACAATTCTGGAGTATATCAGAGGTTACAGCTACACAACATACTGAGTACAGCAAATGGCCACAATGTGACTGGGAACGCTAGCAAGGCAGGTATCTTGCAGAGAAGAGACAACATGAAGGTTATGTAACAACTGATACGTACGCTAAGTCGCAGGTACCATTGAGGATAACGTACAGTGCCATGACGAATGTACGAGTCTAGATAAGTCAGTAAAAACTAAGGTAGCGCGATGTCGTATGAGATGAGAAAACATAACTAACGTTCTACAATCCAGGTGTTCTCGGGTTAGTCATGGGAGGGTTGGGTGGGAATGTGACCGTACAGAGAAAGGTTGAGCCACGAATGACCCTTACGAGGGTTAGGGAGGAAGGGTCAGAGGGTAAAGGGGCGGAATAATTAGTATCAGGGTAGGGGTCACGTGATTGTCTGTTCAGCCGACGGGAAAACGAGATTTTCTCTTCTTCGCAAGCTCCGAAGAGAACTATGTTTCCCGTCTATTTCACAGACAAACACACACAAATTAGGGTAGTGAGCTCACCGTCACGATGCAAAAGGATAGCATCTCTGTGTATACCCTTGTACACAGAGAGACAACATGACCGGGAGGGAAAGGATGATGATGAGGTGGGAGAACCTAGGGAGAACCGGCTGGGCTAATCTAAGTATGATAAATGTAAAGTACTGGAGTAACGGAACTGGTACGATAATAAAAAGACAGTCTCTTCGGAACAAGGGAGTCATACGTGTAAGGAAGCAACATGTAGGATTAACACGCAGCTGTAAGTTCATGTTCAGAGTCACGGAAGTACAACTGATGACGACTTCAGGTGGTAACGACTCCTGGCGATGACGACTGGCGGTAACGACTGAGTTCGAAGTTTTCGAGAGGTCATGTCCGTTCTGTGCGCTTGCACAAGACGAGCTACAAATCTGCCTTAGTCACAAGTTCAAATATGCAAGGTGATTCAGTCCTGACTGGAGCGATGAACCAAACAGCATCAGTCCCAGGTCCACACGCATGGCTGCCACTGCAGGTTACGCTTCGCTGAACCAATATCACGATGAAACAGACAGTACTACGAAGCAGTCCGGTCATGCTGGTTCGTACATTAAACTCGGCGGGGAAAAGTCCAGCGTCCCGCATGCAGTGATCCACGCTGGGGTCCCTTAATAGTCCTACCTCGACAAGGTGTCAACGCGTCTACACAAGGAACGTCCGATAGAACTTCACGTTCGTCCGCGCGGCGGAAGGAACTTCGTGGTGGAACTTACGTTCACCCACACTTGGGTGCAACTACTGGTGGAAATGCTCCTTCATCCACACGGGGGAACCGGTAGAACTTCCCGTTCGACTTCCGGAGAAACCTGACGCTCACGGGACTCTAGTGAACTCAAGTTCACCCGCACGGGGGGTTGAACTTCGATGGGACTTACGTTCACCCGCACGGGGGGTTGAACTTCGATGGGACTTACGTTCACCCGCACGGGGGGTGGAACTTCCCATGTATCAACAATGTGTCCACAGGGGGGAATAGCATGCACATAGCCATGTGACGAGGAGCACACGGGGCACACGGGGATCACATCTCAAACGCACACGGTGCACACGGGGAGCACATCGCAATTCAACGTCACACACATAACGTTACTAGTAACCTGTCAGGACATGGGGTAGGGGGGTAAGGCAAAATGGGGGAGGAAGGATGGGGTGGGGGATAGAACAAGGAGGGGTAGGGACTGAGGAGGAGGACGTTCCCAGGAACATGCTATGCCAGACTGGAATCTGCGAATAAGGAAGCAATCAGGTCGTCAAAACAGCTTCAGACCGGTGGTGGTAGATCATAAGAGAGAGCTGCAAAGTGTAAACAGCTGTTGGTAAGGCGGCAATATTGAACAACTGTCTTGTCGGCGACCGGAAGGACATCACGTCACTATGTACTATTCGCAAAAGGGGGAAGCATTAGTTCCTCCCGTGTGCAGCAGACTAGTCGTAAAAGGGAGAAACATAATTAATACGTGGAGTAATTCGGCACAACTGCGTCTACGAAATTGAAAAAACGATGAGATCAATGCGTTCAATGCAAAAACAAGAGTGTACAAACACAAGAACGACTTGCTACTACTACATGTACTAGCATATGTGTATGAAGGGGGGGTGAGTCATGTGCACATGTCAAGATCTAGGGTGGAAGTTGGCTAGTAGGGGGAACAGGGTCGGGGTCGGGTGGGGGTGGATGGGACGGAAAACAAGGCGAGGTGAGGACATGAGAGGTAGGGTCCGAGGTAAGGATCATATACAACGTGGACGCACCAGACATGTAGTGAGAAACCAATCAAACAGTCAGGACAGCTCATCAGAGATCATCAGACAACAAATGCTGGAAGAGTGAGTGTAGAAAACTGTGCATCACGTGGGAGTAGGGCAGTTAGCACATTAATAACTGACCTAGCCAACCAGTCTATCAAAACAAAACAAACAAAACGAGGAGGTTGTAACCGATCAAGGATGGGTACTATATACGGGAAGAAAGTCGGGAAGTTTGTTGGTCAATCACGAGGTAATAGCCTGGAATCCTGAAGGCAGAGCGGAGGAACGGAGCGGAGACACAGCGTTCACGGATGGATTCCAGGCTAGAGGGTTTGGGGTGGAAGGGGATATTACGTTCATAACATCACAACGTTCCCACGGGTGGGTGGTCTGGAAGAGAAAAGGCTAGGCGGTCAACTGTAACAGGCAGGAAGAGGGTATAGCCTGGCTGTCATTAACACAGCGGGAGGTAAGGAAGTGCGCTGTCCTCGAGTGACACCTCGTGGTAGGAACGTCTCTGTTGAAGGAAGAATGTGTAAATAGCCAGAGCGCAAACTAGGAAAAAGCAAGGAAGTTAGAAGCGTTACTAGAGTAGTACACATGCAGGACCACACGCAAAGAGATCTATGAACGCCCATGATGCAGCAACCTCCTGTGGTAAAAATAAGCAGTAGTATTATAAAACCGGTTACGATAGTACATAGTACATAAACGAGAAGACAACAAAGGCCAACAAAATACAGACAACGGGGGGAACATGGAAAGGAGAGGGGAAAACCTGCTACAGAACTTCCATCGTCAGGCGGGCGGGGGTAGCCAGTGGGGTCCGAGCTCGAGGTGGTCCGGTCTGCCGAGGCGATGGAGACTTGGCGCAAAATCCTTGGAACAGACGATCGATGTGAAGAAACGCGACGAAACTGTAGCACAGGGGCGCGCAGAAACCAGTTGAGCTAGCCGCTGGACGCACATAACGGAGGTAGTTCTGGTGTAGAGGTCAAGATCCATGGCGGAATAATCAACTTGCGTGGAACGCGAACGTCTACACAAACAAACAGTCAGAGAGACGGGAATCCACACGAGCAGAAGTACAAGGTGAAGTAATCCAGTGACCAGCGGAAGAAGCCGAGGGGAAATTGTAACTACACACGCTTGGGACAAATGTGATCGGGAGCCAAACAAATGTGACCGTACAGAGAAAGGTTGAGCCACGAATGACCCTTACGAGGGTTAGGGAGGAAGGGTCAGAGGGTAAAGGGGCGGAATAATTAGTATCAGGGTAGGGGTCACGTGATTGTCTGTTCAGCCGACGGGAAACGAGATTATCTGATGAAGATCCTGATGAAGATTCTGATGACGACAGTTTTGACACCCATGAGCTTCCATTTAAAGTCATGGGGGTCACTTACCATAAGCGTTACCAGGATGTTCTGGAAGAAGCTTATAATGCCATCAATGATAATAACAACACTCCTAAAGCAGACATCATTCCTGAACCTGATAATTCTTTTGACCCTAATGCCATAGCTGTGAGAATATATACGGACAATGGTCCAGAGAAGGTTGGCTACATACAGCAGGCTTTAACCCAGCATGTCCATCAAGCCATTAATACACAGAGACTGGGAGGTGTCAGAATAGGCAGGATTGCCTTTCGAACAACTTGGTACCACCCAGGATGGTACCTGAAACTTCTCATTACAAAGCTTGGAAAGTGGGAAGGGGCTGTAGTGCAGAAGGCTCTCAGAGTAAAGTAGTAATTTTGTTGTTGTGTTTTGAAATATTTTATGTATGTTATAGATTCTAATAGATTCAAATTGAATCAAGTACACAATGTAATATATTGTGCAGTTTAATGTACACTGTTAATGTTTATCATTTACCTTTGTCAGGTGTCACATGTTACTTTGCAATGTTAATTTTGACTACAGTTCACCTATTTTCCTATTATTCATCGATCCCCCTGTGAAATAGTGTGGTATAATTGTAAATTGTATTATAACTGTTATGTTTTGATGTCTGCTTTAGGAGTGTTTTGCTGACTGAACAGATATGTTTCAGTTCTTCCTTGATCCCATTCTGAAATTGATGTAAACTTTTTGTCATGCTATGGATTTTGATTTATGACTCAACAGATTGATTGAAATTGACTTTATTTGGTGTGCAGCTGTTGTTTATCTCTTGACTTTGTCCATTGTCATGTTACTTTGTAATATTATTTTTGATCAGATAACCTTAGTTTCAATTCTTCCTTGATCCCCTTGTGAAGTAGTATGTGAAATTTGTTATGTTCTGGATTCTGATAAGATAAAAATTGAATCAATTTAACTATATGTTGTGTGCAGTTTGATGTACACTGTGAATATTTTTATCCCTTGCCTTTGTCGGGTGTCACATGTTACTTTTAAATGTTATTTTTTGACTACAGTTCCTCTGTGTTTTAATTCCTTATTGATCCCTTTATGAAAGTGTGATAATTGTCAACTTTTTCTAAAGTTGTGAATTCAGAAAGAAATTGATATTTATGATATGCAAGATTCAAGTTGAATCAAATTAACTATTATGATGTGCAGTTTACACTGTTGTCTATTCTATGTTGCAAAACTATCTCTGACCTTGATTCCTCTGAAGTAGAGGTGAATACTTGCAAATTGTTTGACTGAGAAACAAGGCTACTGTTTAGAGTATAATAAAGGACTTAAATTATCTTAGTCATCGTGGTTAGTCTCTTAAATTTTCACTGAAGAAGAAAATGAAGATACAGGGATAAGAAAGAAACATTTCCATTTTTTATTTCTCTCATGTCATATAGCCTGATACAGAATGGTAAAACACTTTTGGCATAGCTGATCACTTCAACCATTACTGTCTATGTAGTGACATATCTCCTATATGCAGAATTTCTATCTACCTCTGGATGGCTGCAGTTGATCTGACCTCCTGATGGACAAGAGTCCAGCCCCCGTAGTATAGGGTTACCCCGGAGAGCCATACCCACTGTAACCTAGACTGTGCCAGACATCGCTGTCAAATTGAAAATTTTTTAGAAATCAGCTGAAATAGGTTAGACCTTTGGCAAAAGAGACTTCTCTTCAATTCACAACCAAATGTCTAACCTATTTTGGCTGACTTCTTCAAATTTTACAGTTTGGCAGGGAGATCTGACAGAGACCACCAGAGACATCTAGAATTAAAACAAATAAAAGACTGTCTAAACAAATTCTGATATACAAAATGGTTTACAGACTTCTGAGTTACATATGACATTAAGATAGTAATTCATGCCTGGGGTGGTGGGGGCAGTTGCTCCTCCAGATTGTGGAATCTTGCCCTGACAGTACTAGCTCCTCTTCTTGGCATCTGCACCCTGCACGGGTTTTCAACTCCTGGGTCAGCAAACCTTGCTTCTCTGATGCGGCCCAGTCGCTCGGTTGCGCCAGATGGTTCGTCGAAAGAGGGCAGCTTGGCCTTGAACCGTTCATTCACTCCCGTGTGATACCAGAAGGGCAGGTCGTTGTCCAGTCTTTTACCAAACTCATGGCAGATTTTCCTAATATGGTGGGTGGAGAAAGTAAAATATGACGTTAAGGTTAACTGCTGCCTAAAGTTTATGACAGGCAGGAACACAACAATATGGTTGCACTGTTATTAGTTTGGTTATACTGTTATGGTTATACATTACTTGTACATTATTATAATGCCTATTGCACATATTTGTATGTTTACAAAGACTATCAATGGAATGAAAACATTTTTACTTAATTGTACAATCTTTTCATTAATCTAGTGTGAATCAGTGTTAGGTGGCATTACCTCTGATTTTCCCTGTATGTCTTGTGGTCGAAAATCGGACCAAGCGCCGCATGGAGTGTTGAGATGTAGGCCTCCACGTCGTCTGATGTTCCAGCTCTGGGATGTTCTGGGGGGAGATTCCAACTGGTGATCATCCGTCGCCTGTGCTCCTGGCTCTCGATGTTGCAAACAAGAGCCACCACAACTTCACGTGTGAAGCCTTGGATGCCCTTGATTGGTCTGTAAATAATACATATAACAACAATGTTTAAACTGTATAGGTCATCAAGAAAGACTTCTCCCAGACCTTGCTGTAAACCATAGCATGTTACTGTACAAATACATTTACAAAACTCTATGGGCTAACAACTGACAAACAACAAAAACATGAATAAAAAAATAGTGCATGACACAAACAATAGCCTGACCTGTTGACATCCAGAAAAGCGTAGTCCTCAACACAGGACAGGTGCGGCATCCAGTCCTCTAGCAGGAAAGCTAACATGTCCAGGTTGTACTGCCTCCGTGTCCGCTGGTCCAGTCCTCGTCCATCTGTAGCCTTGTGCCAGTTCAGCACGATTTCTGCTACCCTATGACCAAATACAAACAAATGATGTTTTGTAATCTGCACAACATTTGAAATTACTAACAGCTTTTTAAAGGAAGGGATGACTTGCTTCTGGCAAACATCATATAACTGACAAACAGTACGTACCTTGCTTCATTCTCGTAGCCTTTCGCCTTGAAGAAGTTGACCACTCCCGCTGAAAACATCCGTTCGCAGTCAGCCACTGACTATTTGCGCTTCCCGCTCAGGGCCGTGTAGGTCAGCATGGTGTTTGGGCTGTGCATCGCTTCCACCCATCTGACAATAAACAGAAAAAGTTGAAATGGTTAAACTACTGTATATGCATGTAAATGATGACTTATGAAAGTACATAGAATTTCCGTGACAAGCATTTCATGCCACCTAGGCCACCACTACAGGGTCAAAATATTTGATTTCAACAGCTCACCTCCTCATATCCATGTTGGGTACAGTTCCGTACCTCACACACTGTGTCAGTCTCTTCAGAACATGACCATGGTCCTCCCTGTCGAAGTGAGGCTCGTTCCCGTCACTGACTTCAGGCACATACAGATTTTGGCTGAAGTCGACACCTGTTGCAGATAGGTCGTGCACCTTTTTCCTGAAGATGTAGGTGGCCATTATTGACTTCAGGCACTCAGAAGTTGACTCGTTGTCTTTCGCTGCAATAAGAAAAGGAAGGGTTGGTATGTTTTGCATTGCCAAAGTACAATACAATGTGATGACATACAAAACAATACGTCTTACACAGCCTGTTATATGTAAAATATAAAATATGTACAATGTCTGTACGTGCAAAGTAGTGAGATATTTCCATTTTTGTCTATGCATCAAGACAGCAAAAGAGAAACCCAACAAATGGGAGCGGGAAAGGTAATTCCTTCACTGTACATTAGGTTGAGCCATGGACCACATAGTTCATACAATACAATAAAACACTATACTGATAATCATAGTTAGCTTAGCTGATTATCAGCCAATTACAGTTAAGTATATCCTTGAGATGTTCTGCAACATTTTCAGTGCATATAGGACAAAATCTAAAGTCTGTGCTTGCATCTTTTCAAGTTAGAGGAACGTACCTGGGGTCCATGGGAGAGGGTCATGCATGTGTGGGAAGTGTCTTCTCCGCAGAATGTGGATTGCTGTCTCGAACCCGACGTTCCGTTCTCTCATGTAGGTGGCCAGCCATACAACATCCTCTAGCGGTACCGCTTCGTGCCCAACCACAGGGAGGGGGGTTGCCTGCATTGTCTATAAGAAAAAGTATGGACAATTTGCTGTCAATTTCAAAAGCAATTTTCAATTACAGGACAAACATGTATCATAATGTAAAACATACAGGCATACACAATCAGAAGAATCACAATGTCAATCATTTTACCTCTTAGTGTGAGATATCTCTTGATGGTTGCAGCTGTCATGGTCCTGGCTTCCGCTTTTGCATCCATCATCAGTTGGATGACAGACACTGGTCGACTCCCGCCCATCGTCCGCAAGGAGTTCCACTCCCCATCCGTGACAAATCCTTGATAGGACAAAGAGATTACGCACAAATGCCTGCTTCGCCTTGTACTCTTCCTGTGCCTGTTGCAGCTCTCCATCCCCCAAATCCGTGTCGCCCGACCACTCATGCCTCATGGACTCACGTAGGCCCTGTTGCATGTCGCATGCATCAGCCTTTATCCACCAGCGTCCTTTAGGGTTGGAAGAATGCGCCCGGCTCAGCAAACTGACCTAGATGGTAATGTATTCAACACCGTAAATTCCAACATTCCAGGTATGGATCAAATTGACACATTACTAACGGAATACATATATCTGCCGTTTCAATGTACAATCCCCTTTTAAAACTTTTATTCACCATTTGATATATGCAAAAGGACTAGCAGAAAGAACAAGGGCGGTGTTTAAAAAACACACCGGCGACGTGAGTATTTTAATAATATAATAGTATAAATTTGTAACCCTTTTGATATACCTTGGGTAAAAGGAATTTTTCTTATAACGGATTGTTGTTTTAGTACTACTAGTATTTTAAAATATGTGTGTTTTTAACACTGTATTATATGTAGGAAGTTGTATTGTTTGTTTTTGGGGGTGCTAATATGATGCATGCATCAACGAATGAAATGTGTACCCTTAGCTGTAACTCACATACGTATGGATTTATGTTTGATTATTTAGGAAGTACGTGAAGGTATATATAGGAAAGGTATCTGACGCAAGTATTACCAAATAAGGATGAGCTTTTTAAATAGGTATTGCCATATATAATAGACACGCTACGTGTACACCCAGTGGGTCTCCACCAGAAAGCAGACCGGGCGCTCGTCCAAGGTTCCCCAGATATCTGATGTCTCCATATTCCACCTAACATGTCTGACTTTCCACAGCGCCTTCACAAATTCACGGTGGCGCTGAAGGGACTTGTGCAGAACTACCCCAAGGTCACAGTATGGGACCACAGACGTCTGTGGAGACGCAACCGAAACTACTTTGCGCCTCATGCCCGTAGCCAGGGGGGGTTCGGAAGGTTCGGAAGACCCCCCCCCCACAAGGTTCAAAGGTCCACTTTTTGGTCCACATTTTATGTAAAGGTCCAAGATTTTTCTTGAAAAGATGGACTGGAATCGTAGAAAATTGCTCCCTTTGTCATTGAATAAAAATTTATCTCTGATTTTTTCTTGGAAATCCTCTCAAAAATGCACGAAATGCCATTTTAGAAGGTTCATTTATTCACAGTCCCCCGGACCCCCCTAGGAACCTCGAGGTCCCCTCAAGCAGTGGGAAGAACCCTATTCAAAATCCTGGCTACGGGCATGCGCCTGACGGCCTACACTTGTCCGATCTGGGAAACCTCCAGTATTACAAGAGTGTCCGCGGGGCTGTAGACCGCCAGCTAAAGCACATTTGAAACGTGTTCGCTTGTCCCTTGTGAACCCCTTTCCTTTCTCATTCCGGCACAATTTGTGCCCGATTGGCTGGTTTCCTCTTTTCGTTCGCACACGCACTGGACTTTCACGCAGTTAGGCGTGTTTTGGCCGGATTGTTGACATGAGACACATGTTAATATATTTGAGACAATCTCTATCCTACACCATGCCTCGCACGTGTTGATACTATGGTTTGTGATGCAACAGAATAAAAGGTTGCATATCTCGCCAAACAAGAAATATCTCTTCTGTTTATTGTGTTAGATTGCACTATATAACTAACGGTGACCTGGCCCGATAACAGGCGTAAAGTAAACAACCGGAGCTCAGTCTGATGTAAACCTTCGTGATGTTCACATCGCGGAGAGCTCTGCT